TGGTGACTTTTTGGGATAGTGATTGGGGGTGAAGGGATTCCTGGAAGATAGCCAAGGTAAATTAGGTTAGGAATTTGGGGCCAGCTGGATATAATGGGTTCTCATCAGCCAGGTGCAGGATTTCATGCATGGTAGCAGCAACGGTAGGGTGACATGTCAGGAAGATCTGGGGGTGGGGATGACTAAAGCATGAAATCTGTCCCTGTAATATCCCCCTGGCTAATTGTGAACCCATTGTGGGGAAAGAACTGTATTTTTCATCTTTGCCCCTTTCCTAAACTGAGGGAAAGTTTAGACTGGATGATCCCTAAGGCCCCACCTAACCTTGAGATTATATGATTGTTTATTTACTCTGCCATCATTGTCTCATAGTTAGTAATCCTGGAGAGCCTTTCATATATAGAGTATATACATGGTATGTTTTATAGATCCATTAAATATTCAGTGTTGTATCAAAGTCTTCCTAAAAAATCTGAGGACATTTATCTGTGTACTAGTGGGTGATATTCCTTCAAATATGGGTTCTTTTCTGGGGGGGAGGGGTGTTTTAAGGGAAGAGAGACCCACAGAACCGAGTGAACACCATAGGAGAGGTCAAGTGGAATGTTCTCATTGGGAGCATATCTTCTACCACCAATGTTTCCAGTGTCTCTACTGGCTCTGCCAGTAGCAGTCTGGCAATCTAGAGGTCTGCTACATTGCTCGAGAAATTATAGCAAGTTATCCATCTGCCTCCGCTCTCAGTAGGGGAAGGAAGGACATTGCTTCTTGGCAAGGTTTAAGAGAGCAGAGCAGGTTTAAGAATCCAACAGGAGAAAGTCTCTAAGACCTATGATTTATTCTGAAGGCAAACTATCATGGTGTAAGGAGCTGTGGATTTAGAGCCAGAGGGCCTGGGTTTAAATCTTGGCACTGTCTCTTTTTATCTCTATTACTTCACAACCTTGCCCCCCAGCCTCACTTTCCCCATCTTTCAAATGAAGACTTTAGACTAGAAGATCTCTAAGGTCCCTTCTGGGTCAAAATCCCATGATCCTTGGCGCTTATCCCATTCTACGTTACACTTATCTGTGTATATCTTAGGAAACCCCCCCTCCCCAATAAACTCTGATAGTTTTGGGGGCTAGACTTGCCTTTTTTTTTTTAATACTTGGCACATAGCGGGTGCTTAATAAATGCTTATTATTTGATTGATTCATATGTGTATCCCTAGAACAGGTATAATAGGAGCCTAATAAATGTGTAATAAAAAAATGAGTACATGAATGAATGAATGAACCCTATGATCTTATCTCAAATCTAAAATAGTTCTCCCTGGGCACCTAATTCTGTCCTCACAATAGGAGTTTGACCCACAAGCCCAATTACTAACTGAAAAACCCTTTACATCATCTCACCAAATGAAAACATCGGTCTTCCTATTGATTTTCTACTGTAGTACCCAGAGAACACATATATTTTAATCATTTGGGGAATAGAGAGTGAAAGCCATCACTCCTGTGAAAGGGAGGATGTAATTCAGCACAAGTGCCCCAGGCTGCTTTCCAACACTCACTCACGGACATCAGTTTGGATGAGGAGAGATAGTTTCCATTTCTTTTTACCAAGGGACCTCATGGGGTTGTCCCAGATTAAAAAAAAGTGGCTTAATGTCTGTTGTGTCCCACCTCTATTCCAACATTGCGTGTATGACTTGGCATCTCACAAAGTAGCCATAATAATAATAATGATAATAGTTGACATTTATAGAACACTGTAAGATTTGTAAAGTAATTTACTTATATTATTTCATGTGCTCCTTTTAACCTCCCTATGAGATAGGTGTCCCAATTTTATAGATGATGAAACTGAAGCTCAGGGACAGTAGGTAACTTTCTTGAGGTTGCACAGCTATTAAGTTTTTAAGGTAGGATTTGAGTTCTGGTCTTCCTTTGTTCCAAGGAACAAAGTATTCTATGTCTAGCATTCTATCCAGGATGACACACTGTCCTTCGTTTTTGTTACCTTTGCAAGGAGAAAGCTAAGGTATCCACAGTGGGGCCCAGTTCCTATATTCCACCAGAGTCATGTTTAGTGGTTACCCCCGTCATACTCAGTATTCTGCCCCTTAGAACACAGATGAGCTCAGACACCCAGAATTCTGATCACGTGCTCCTTACACATTTGCTTCTCATTCAGGAAGCTTGACTTAGCCAATGGCCTTGTGGGGAAACAACCAGCTGTAATTGGCAAACTGTCAGCCAGCAATATCCATGCCACATCTCAAAGCATTAAGTGAATTTCAGTTGGGCTTCAGGTCTTTTGGCATTAACACATGATAAGCTGTGAACAATGCCGTTAGCAGTTGGGAGCCATTGTTCACAATGCTTAGATTAGATGGGGGCAGGAGTTGGGGGGGCAAGTGGAAAACTGGAGGAGAAAGAAACAGAACAATAACTGAATTTTCCAATAACCTGAACCTGGACTCTGCTTTTTTCCCCTAGATCTTTTTGACCGCAGATTACAAAACATATTCTATCTGCTATGATAGAAAAAGGCAATGTTTATATGACCGTGTTCCCCCAGATAGAATCCTCTAAGTACAGCTAATTGGGACGTGAAGACAGAAAACAGATATAATAATGATGATGATGATAATTATTATTATAACAATAATAATAGCTAGCATTTTTATAGCTCTTTAAAGTTTACAAAATGCTACAATCTAATATCTCATTTGAACCTGAACTTGTTTCTTGTATTGCTGTGTTCTGGCAGTCCTGGATCTCTGCTCCCTGTTTTTAAAAACTGTATCTGTTAAAAAACCAAACTGTAACCAAAAACTGTCTTTGGTTAACAGGGGAGAAAATGAAATTCTAGACAATTCTATGCAAGGCTCTAGATAAATCTGATCTTTCATCTCTTTCTTGAAAGTCTGGCTGAGTTTAAAGATGTTTTCCTTAAAATCAGACTGAGAGTAAACAGTCCAGCTGGAGGAGATAGATGTCCTCAGGCAGTGTGCTATATTGGGAAGTGGTATAAGAGGATGTGGGTTCAAATCCTGACATTGATAACTACTGTGTGACCTTGAGCAGGTCTCTTTGAACCCCAGTTGCTCATCTGTAAAACAAGAGGGTTGGTTTAGATGATCTCCAGCACATGGTATAGTGTGGGTACAGTACTGCCCACAGCTACAGACTTAATACGGGCCTTATGAAGGAATGAATAATAAAGTATTTATTAAGTAAATAGTATTATTTTATTGTTATTAATTTTTATTATTATTAAATATTAAGTAAAACTTTGTGCCAGTCACTGCGCTAAGTGCTAGATGTACAAATACAGGCAAGCAAAACAATTCCTGCCCTGGCAAGCACTTTACATTCTATTTGGATTAGACAACACCTAAAGGGGATTTGGAAAGCAGGGGCAATATAAGGTGAAAGGTCACAGATCAGAGTCTGGCATGAGTGGTTCCAAGGTTCCCATGAAAGGGGGATGAGAAAAATGAGGGTAATATGGCATTATCTCACATGATACTTTGCGTGCACCTGAGAGATTTATGGTCTCTTTATGGGGCATATTGGGGAAAGTCCTGGACTAATTGTCAAGATACATGAGTTCTGGTCAGGGGTGTGCTGGTAAATGTTTAGAAAAAATATATGCATGACACACTTTTAAACTTAATTCGCATTATTAACATTTTCTTTATCACTTTCTTAAGCCTAGACAATCAACAAAACAATACATCAGATATCAAAGCCCTGATTTGTAGCATTTGCCAATTTCCAAAGTGTAAATGCTCACACTGAAAATTTAACAATCAGCTTTCAAGAACCCTTCCAAACTAGCTCTAAGAAACCCTGGTTCTGAAAGTCCTAGGTCTCAGTGTCGTCCGTCTGAGGCCAGCTTCTCCAGACACTTCTTTCCAAGCTCACCAGAAGGTAGTCATCTCAGTAGAGCTCTATGGAGGATATGCTCCAAGGATGTCTTGGTTTGTACCATCTTTGTCTGGGCCTTGGGGGTATGAAGTAGGCACAAGAGGTTAGTATGAGAAGTCCATGTAAAGATGCAGCCACCACTGGGTCAGGTGTAATTACAACAAAGGCAGATTGTGATTAAAGCAGAAATAGGAAAAACACTATCACGTTCATCCCTTGTGGACCCAGCATGGTTAACCATCTGAAGGGAAGGGCATACCATTTAGAACAGGAATGGAACTTGAAACCCAGTACAAATCCTTCATTTACAGGTGGGTAAACTGAGGCCTAAAAAAGAAGAAAGGACTTCATTGGGGATAAACATCAAAGACCAAAGTATTCATTCATTCATTAATCAGGCACATATTAAGTGTCTCATGTGCCAGCCACTCTGCTAGGCTGTGGGAGAAGCAAACACCACCTCCCCCCAAAAAAGTAAATACAGTTCTTGCCTTCAAGAAGCTTATTGTTTCAGCCTTGGCTTATCAGGATGATCGCAAGATCAAGAAAAGCAGCAGCAAAAATGCTTCTTCCAAGTGTCCAAAGTTACTTATTCCCACTTCCAGTCAGCTGGCTTCTGATTTGCAAATGATCTAAGAGAATGATATTCTGCATACACTTGGGATTCTCATAGTCTCTTTCTGCAGTTGATATATTAGGGAAAATCCCAGAGTGGTTGTCAAGAGACACAAATTCTAGTCTTGGGTCTCCCCACTAATTGATTTCATCACCTTGAGTGAGTCAGTTCTCTCTGGGCCTCAGTTTCCCCATCTGTAAAATGAGGGAGAGTTTGGATGAAATTTTCTTTAAGGTTCTTTCCAGGTCTAAACTGTTAGCACTGTCTGAGCCAGGGCTGTTTATATCTTTTTTTTTCCCCAAGATGCTTATCCTAAAAGCAGACTGTTGCTTGGGTTGAATTATTGTGCCAAGTTCTTCAGAATCCTTATCTCAGCCTGTTAGGGTTGTTTCACCTGGAGGAAATCTTTTTCCCTACACATGTCTCCCTTTCTTCTTCTAACTTTCTCTTCTGTTGCTTTCTAGGCATTACCTGAGGGGCAGACGGCATCTTGGGATACAGCCAAGGAAGATGAAAACCGCAATAAGAATCGATATGGGAACATCATCTCCTGTAGGTGCAAAGGTGGATGCTTCTCTCTGGGTTTAGGAGCACATTTTCTCTGGTGGCTTGTACCTTTCTACCTGATGTGGTTTACTTTACTACAGTGGCCAAAAAAAAATGGGCTTAGGAGTCAGAGGACCTAAGTTCAAATCCTGCTTCTGATATGACATGTGTGACTTTAGGCAAGTCACTTAGCTTCAGTTTCTTCATCTGTCAAAAAATGGGTTAGATTAGAGCTCTTTAGCTCTTTCCAGATCTATATCTGTGATCTTATGATGGTAAAGGGTCTTGCTTGGGGTTATGTTACCTGAGGACCAGTTGAAGGAATCCTAATTCTGGAAACATATCCCTACTGTTTTTTTTTTCACCCAGAATAAGTTCATCTTTTTTTGTCTACAGTTATTTTATTTTATTTTTGATAATATTTTGTTTTCCCCAGTTACATGTAAAGATAATTTTTAATATTCATTTAAAAATTTTTTTGAGTTCCAAATCTTCTCTCTTCCCTCCTTCACCTTCCCCCTCTCTGAGATGGTAAGCAATTTGATATGGATTATACATGTTCAATCGTGCGAAACATATTATCATATTAGTCATGTTGTGAAAGAAGACACAGGCCCCAAAGGAAAAAAAAAACTCGAAAAAAATATAGAAAGTGAAAAATAGTATACTTTGATCTGCATTCAGATTCTGTCGGTTCTTTCTCTGGTGGAAGATAACATCTCTCATCAAGAGTCCCTTGGCATTGTCTCAGATCATTGTATTTCTGAGAATAGCTCAGTCATTCACAGTTGATCATCTTACAATATTGTTGTTACTATGTACAATGTTCTCCTGGTTCTGTTCACTTCACTTTGCATCAGTTCATGTAAGTCTTTCCAGGTTTTTCTAAAATCTTCCTATTCATCATTTCTTATAGCACAGTAATATTCCATTATAATAATATACCACAACTCGGAACAATTTCATCTTGTTAGTTGTCAGATGTCCACTGAGTCTAGAATCTCTACTTGCTCTCAGCAAGCAAAACTGCTTGTTTTGATCTTTGCTTCATCCCCCTTTTTGCCATCAGAATCATGATGATTATGATATACACACCCACTGTGATTCATTTTTCTGGGGATGTTCCATACTTAGTGTCTTTGATGTGCAAACTTAGGACTTGCCCAAGTCCCTGTGGGTCACTTGGACCCTGTGTGTAGCTCAAGAGAAGAGGGATACAGAGGAGAATGATGTATTGGTCTCTTATTTTGGAATCTTACCCTCATGTACTGACACCACAGAAGCTTTCCCAGCCTGTTTTGTGGAAGATAATCATCCTAACCCTATAGCCAGGGATGGAAATGACCTACCTGGAATCAGTGGCATTCATAGAGAATATCCTCTAAAAGTCCTCCCTTTTCCAGAAGGAGAGGGAAGGTAATTGTAAAAAACAAAACAAAACAAAAACAAAACTCTTGAACACAGAGAAAAGTCACCAGCGTGGAATAGAATGTCCACAGGAGATCCTCAGGGAATGTGTTGATTTCTTAGTGACTGAAACAAGGGAAAGAAAAGAAAGAAAACTGGAGAGATTGAGGTGTGGGACAAAGGGCATTAGAGTAGGAGGCATGAAACCTGGGTTCCAGTCCCGGGTTGTACCCTACCCAGATGGTGATTTGGGGCAAACCATTTCTTTCTTGGCCTTAGTTTGCTCATATATAAAATTAGAAATATATGAAAGTAAATGTAAATAATATATATATATATATATATAAATTAATGTAAAATTAGATTGTACAGATGATCTTTAAGGACCCTGCCAGCATTCACGTTAATAGCTAACATTTATATAGCATTTCGCAGTTTGCAAAGCGCTTTGCATGTATTGCCTCATTTGATCCTCCTGAATCATTGTGAGAGGCAGGTGCCATTACCTTCATTTTACATTTGAGGAAGCTGAGAATGAAAGAAGTTCAGTGATCTGCCTAAGGTCATACAACTAGAAAGGGATTGAGGATAGGGCAGCTAGGTGGTGCAGTAGACAGAGTGAGGCCTAGAGTCAGGAAGACCTGAGTTCAAATGCAGTCTCAGACACTTACTAGCTGTGTGACCCTAGACAAGTCACTTAACCCTGTTTGCCTCAGTTTCTTCATCTGTAAAATGAGCTGGAGAAAGAAATGGCAAATCACTCCACTATTTTTATCAAGAAAACTCCAAATGGGAGCACAAAGAGTCAGACACCACTGAAACAACTGAACAACAAAACAAAACCAGGTATCCTGCTTCTATGTCCGCAGCACTATTCATTGTATCATAGGGCCTCCCAGGGTCCTATAGTTCTAAAATAGTCAGGAAGCAGTAGACGTGGCCTATTCACACAGCAAACAAATGGTATTAAGTCCTAAGTCCATCCCCCCCGCCCCAGAGAACATTATGAAGTATTTTGAGCATATAGAGTCATAATCCATATACTTCGATGTGAAGCAGTGGTACCTCAAAGTCTTCCTGAGACAGTTTGACCCCAGTCTGTCTTTCCAACTTTATTTCAGTCTGCCTCTTTCTCTTTGGCCAGACTGGACTGGTCACCATTCCTTTCAGACGTGTCCTGAATTTTTCCACCTCCATGACCCTTATGTTTTTCTCTGTACTTGGAAAGCTTCCATACCCTTCAATCCTCATTTCTGTCTCTTGAAATCCTATCCTCCCTTCAAGGCTGAGCTCACACACCGCCTCTTTCTTGATGTCTCTGATCCTCCTGGGCAGGTCTGCTATCACTCTCCTCTGAACTCCCGTTGTATTTTATATCTTTCTAATGCATTTATTGCATTCTGCTTTTTATCACAGTCATTTATGTATATGTTTCATCCCCTTGATTAAATTGAAATCTTCACTGGGGGCAGGAGCTATGCTTCATTTATCTTTGCTTCCTCCTCAAGGAGTCACATAGAGTCTTACTTACAGCAGGCCATGATAAATGTTCATTGAATTGTTAAATAACAGAGGAGATAAATTCAGATTTATTAGACAGGCTTCGACATAACTGAAACCATGGATTTATGTTCTGGTTCAATGGCCTGTGGTGTGATCAATCCAAGATTTCTGACCAGCTCACTTATTGAGCATGCACTGTGCCATACGTTTGACTCAATGATGTACTAGAACAAAGAAAATCCTAAATGCCAAATTAATTTCAGCGCAGTCCAGTTTATTTAATGCCTAGACAATGCCTTAGAAAGAACTTGGAATACGGAATGGAGTAGAAGCATCTTGCGAAGGAGAAAAGAATTGGAAAGTTTCTCACACACCCACATACATATGTACACATTTATATGTACATGTATGTGCATATTCCTTGTTCTAATTCAGAGATAGAATACACAGATATTCAGAGTCTCAGAAGGTGGCCATTCCTGTCACTGATGCACATCATGTAGGTAGCATGATTACTTATGAGTACCATAATTCAGTGCATCTGTGACTTCCTCAGTGTGGGTATTCACACCAGTGATGCAGATTGCCACCTATCAACTATGATCTGCATGATGAGCTTACTGCAGAGGGGCCCATCCATTGAGCTGGGGACCTTCCTTGCATCATGTTTCACTTTGGTCTTTATATACCAAGCATTTACCAGGGATGGAGAACCTGCAGCCTGGACGCTACAAGTGGCCTTGTAGGTCATTGGCTGTGGCCTTTTGACTGAGTCCAAGTTTTACAGAACAAATCCCGTTATTATTAAGGGGATTTGTTCTGTGAAGTTTGGATTCAGTCACAGGGCTGCACTTGAGGACCTAGAGAGCTATACGTGGCCTTGAGGCCACAGGTTTCCCACCCTTGATTCCGGTCCATTACCCATACATGGTAGGCATTTAGTCAATGCTTGTGGACTGATTGACTGGAACCTCAAGAAAAGAAGTGGAGCATGTGACTTCTAGAATAGATGAAAACAGGAAACCTAGACCATTATCCCCTCCTCCATTAATTCATGAGGCATTAACCTAGAACCAAAAATTATGTTTTTAGTAAACATCCTACTCAGCCTCTTACCCTTTTTGTGCAGAGGCATTATTAAGAGGTAGGGCAGGAAGTTAGGTTACACATAATGCCAGAAGCGCTGTCATCATTGGATTTATGGTTCCCTTTGAGTTCCTTTTTTGATACTAGGGGCTTCATGGGCCTGATGAGGATCATGTCAAGGTCGTGCAGCGTCAACCCTGAATATAGGAGTTTCTAGGGCAATCCACGCAGCAACATACTCTGTGCTTTGACACAGCTGGCTAGTTCGAGGAAGCAGTGGTGGCCAAGAGGGTCCTTTCCATTTGGTTCATACAAGCCACTGTGGAAGGCACTAGTTCCATGTAATAAGATTAAGAATTTGCGTATTTAGGGCAGAGTCTGCTGGTAGCTCCTTTTCCCCAAGCTTTCGTTGTTCTTTGATCAAAATGGCCAGCCCATAAGTTCTCTCTCTCTGTCATTGGCTCAGTTCATACATAATTTACTTAACACTTTGAATGCATTACTACCGGCTCCTGGAGTTTTTCTTTGAAAAAACATACCGTACTATTACTGAATGAAGAACCTTGTGGAATGATGAAGTGTCAAACTACAAAAGTTGGGGTGGGGGGGGGGCATCATCATGTCATGTACAATGTGCTGGATTTAGAATCCGAAAGACCTGGGTTTAAATCCCACCACTAATACTTATAATGTGTGTAACTATGAGCAAATCACTTCACTTTGCTGAGCCTCAGTTTCCTCACCTGTAAAATGAGAACAGTAATATCCATAGTACACACACACACACACATACACACACACACACACCTCTACCATGATTGTTGTGAGACTTCAATGAGCTAGCACATTTAAAGCACCCTCTTGTTATTGTTGCTCAGTTGTGTCTGAGTCATCGTGACCCCATCTGGATTTTCTTGGCAAAGATACTGGAGTGGTTTGCCATTTCCTTCTCCAGTTCATTTTACAGATAAGGAAACTGAGACAAACCTGCTTAAATGACTTGCTCAGGGTCACACAGCTAG